GAGAGTTTCAAATTTATCATTATTTGTTGTTTGATTTGACCCCTGCACTAAAACTATATATACTCGTATATGAGAAATGTAGTACAAGTGATTGTCAAGCGTTTTCCAGTTATTTGTTCTCTTGCGCCAGAGGTGGCGCTCGTACCACCTTGTTATACACAGATAGTGGCGCGAAAAACTGCAAAAGTATAACCTTACTTTCTAACAGTCATAATCACGCAGTGTTGTCAATAACTGGCGAATAAGTTCCGGGGTTTTGGGTCGTGAAAAGAAAGTTTTGTTCTCGGAATTTTAGAAAACTTGAATATTTCCTTATATTATTAAAAGAAATACCGGCAATACCGTGGAGGAACACTTTCGATTGGAAACTAAAACAGTTCAACACCTGAGAGTTCTCCCTGTCTCTGACAGGTCAAACGACTGAGATAAATAATCCTCTGGTCAGCTGCGTGACTTGACAATAAACCGTGCAATTATATTAAACAATTAAGAAATGAAAAAAATCTATTCTCAAGTCGGAACCAGCTTCTATTTTTCTGACTGTCTCATTATGCTAGCAGCAAAGGTGAACTGAATCAGTTCAATTGTTGAGGTAGTGTCACATTTTCCCAACTAGAATGAAATTAAGGCCTTCTTCTTCCTCTCCAGTTGACAATCTGCAAAACTCTTCTTTTGATACCCTCCCCCCTTGGTGGTACTACGCTCATACAACATGATTTCCCCTTGCATTCGCCGCTTACAATAATGGAGAAATGTGTTCGATACGCGTTTTTGCTTCTGCTCTCTGGATTCACCGAAAGGCATGCCGATCCTTCCGTTGCTGTTGGGGTAGCGCGCTGCCATGTTGATGGGTCAAGTATTTGGGAGGAGCGACTTTGTCTGATGAACGATCCTACCGGTAAGGCAGTGACATAATATCCATGGACTAGTTGTATGGGCCTGTTTGACTGATATGATGATATGGTTACAAAATTTATAAAGTTTCATTATGATTCGAAAATATCAATTATCAATATAAAAGTTTTCAACAGTACACTTATAATATGCACCATTGAGAAAAATGCAATTTGTTCTTTTAAATTCCAAGTATTGTAAACTATATAAACTAGGTAAATACTCTTACCTAAACGAACTAACTTTAGTAAATATAATTAAACTGTTTTACTTGGAGTGGGTAAACTTATTTCTGTAGTTAATTTTTAATGAATTGATGTACTCAATCTAAGCGAACGGTTTAATAAATTCAGTTAGGCGATTGCGTTTTGATTAAGTTAAACTAGTTTCATAGACTTAAGTAGACGGTTTCAGAAATTGGAGTTTAACCAAACTAATCAACCTTGTCAACTGCACACAGATTAGTAGATTCCTTTATTGGCTCAATTGAAGTTTTAATTGTGTCAATAAACATTATTCCTATTTTCCGCTGTTTTGTTAAGAAATTTCGTTTGATTTTGGGACATTTAGGAGCCTCCTCCAAGCCGAGGGGGGACCCTGGGCTCGTGCTCTGTGTGCACATGGGGTAAAGCTAAAATAGTGTTCGTTAGTCCCTGATAGTGAGAAACTATTGTTGGAAATAGTTAGATAAGGCAGCAGACTAAATTAACTAGGCTATTAATCGTTTTCCGACTCCAGAAGATCGAAACGGCTCGCCATAAATTTCATCGTATTTAACATCGGTAATTTAATATGTAGGCGATTTTTCCGCGTCGGATCAATCGTCCGGGGAATCGTAACGATCTTCCATTGTTGACAACTGGCCAATAAATGCACGCGTTATTAATTTTTGCGGCATGTCGGATGCGAGGTGTGTGTCGCGTTTGCCTCAAGGGTGGCTCATTCAAATGGTGCAGTGTTTAATTTATGATTATTCTGTATATATCCGTGGATATGCTCACAATGATAGAAATTTTGAATTCACGTTCAATTTTAGCCATGACGCGAGGAGTGTGTTGCGTTTGCTTTAAAGGCGGGTAGCTTGAGGGGCTTTCTATGTTTATTGCTGAATTTTGGTTATTCTGAGTTTTTGCAGATATGGCTATTGATAGATATTTTTATATATTATTTGTTGTGATCTTCTTTGAATTACCTCTGTAAGTTGAACATGCGACTACACGGCAAAAAAATATTTTTTTTTACTTTTGAACAGCTAGATTCGCATTTTATACCACCGTGGGGCTTTGCCATTTATGCTACCTGTAATGGCCGGCTGTGTAATACTGATTGTACCTTCCTTTACTGCATTTGAAGGTTCATTTTATTTTCATTAGTAGATACTAATTTAATAAATGTCTATTGTAAAATGAACGACTCCATGATGAAAAGATGAACTTGGCAGCAAAACATGAGCTAGATGCAGTTATTTTAAGATAAAAACTACGAAAATGACAAAACCAATGAGTCATAACATAGTACGTGTAATCTAACCGACTGTTGATGTTGGTCTGAATACATTTACCTCACTTCGCACGGCAGCACGTACAACAATTCCGTAGCATTCCTGGTTCGCCGTTTCTGCAATTATTTCGCATATAACTAGCGAAATTATAGAGAATGCTCTTATCTTTAAACATGAGAAGCTATTCGGAATATGAATACACGGCGAGCTTAATTGGATATGCAGGAAGACAGCATATCTGGTCCTTATACTTTTTGTTTTCTTGGTTAACGGAACTACAGAGCTGGTTTATCTTAAGCTATGGAGGATGGACAGCATGTCCTTGTCAACTCAGGATCTTAATAACGCTAATTACTTCATTACAGTAGCACTGGCTATAGAGATGATTGTAGTTATTAGGCGAAGGAGAAACCTGGTGAATCGGCTACGGCTAGCCCTTCTTGTCGATCCGGAACAGGACTTTAGGCCTGCCCTACTTTCGAAAGAAGGTATCATTATCGACCTGACTGCTACATACATACCTCGTCCTTCCTCTCTTTCTCCCTCTCTCTACCTCTAGTACACTACAGTCCAGGCAGGGTTGTGGAATCTACAGCAGCTTGTTTCTACTATTTAACACCATTTATCATCAACTGGTCTTCTGCTATTAGCTCGTATCATCAATGGATGTTGGCGACCATAGTGGCTCATCTTATTTTGTTAACAGCTGTTCTAAATAGGACAGTTGCTGTCAAATCTGTCGATTGTGTCGGGCTCTTAAGCCAGGACATGCGACGTCCTGGTTCCGCATTCCCTCCTAACAATCTTTGTAAGCGAATCTCCTCTCTTCAGTGGTGCTTAAGACTACTAAATCCTTTTGTAAACGTTGCACTAAGTTGTGAATCCATGGCATTCCTAACATCCAATGATAGCACTACAATTCAAAAGCTTGCAGCAATCGACAGGAGGTTTCATGCTCCTGCACTATACATAAGGACAGAAAACGCGTAGCATTTTAGGATTCTGAGTATCGCCAATAGAGATTTAAGGTTACATTACAAATTAATATATTTTTTTATTTTCAGCACCTCTTCATGTAGCTTGCCCATTTTATTTTTGCCTCTTTACTATTTTGATATCTGAGTATCCATACAGCTTATGTAGTTCTCTCTTTGTTCTAATGCGGTACTGCCCAGTAGCATTATCCTGTGTTCGTCCTGTTAATATTCCTCGTTCTGGAACTCTTATCCTGTTTCCATTGGGGATTGTGAGCGTCCAATCCTCCATATGTACATGACATAGCTGGACTATTTTAGCTTTATGGGATAGGGTTTTCGTCTTTAGAGCAGTTTTAAAGGTAAAACCGCACCGAACGCCGAGCATCTCAGCTCTTGGCCCTGATACACGACAGATGCAACTGCCTGAGAAGTGGACTGATACCTTCTTTCCTTTCCAGCACTTGGGATAAAGAGGATTTTCTATTTTCGTGAGAGCCAGTCATATGTTGAATCTGCAGTAGCCTGTAAGAGTTTCAACCATCTAGGAATAGCTTTATACTTTGTCCAACAGGGACAAGGCTTACGTTTGTCTCGGCCTCCTAAAGGCGGCGACTGACTGAAGCCGAGTGCTGTAATGTGAAGCTCACACCAAGCGTTACATTACAAAGTTTGTCATTTGAGACCAGCGAATGTTCACTTGCAATGCCCGGCTCAAAAGTGCTCCACATTTTTCTGTGTCGAAATATCAGACCTAGAAGTAGCTAGTGCTGCGTTCGTATTAGTGGGCTATTGCAACCTAATAAAAAAAAGAGAGACGGTGGTGGCAGACAGATTTATTTAGAGGAAGAGATGTAAATGGAGGTGCGACATTAATGAGTATTTTAAAAAACGAAGACCTGTTGCACTCGTCATGTTTCTTGATTCTGTTAAAATATACAAATCAATAAAAAATAAAGCTTTCTCCTGGGACCACTCCATTAATAACGTGTGTTCAGAGCTCTGTCTCACCTAATAAAGTGAGAAGACTGCAGAGACTATGCCCACAGTCGAACTGTACTGTAACCATCAAAGGGATTCGTCAAAAAACATAGACAAGTGGAGCACGATTTGCTCGACGCGACCGGCTCCGTTCGACACGCGCTTTAGCGATTCACTAGCGAATTTCTGTGTTAAGGCGCGTCCAGACATGTGTAATGTATCGTGTAATGTAACGTGTAATGTAACGCGAATTCTCCGTTTGGACGGTACTGCGAGCATTACGTGTAACGCTCGCCGAATGGTTCGAGGGAATCCATCGGATGTCGGTTTTTTGCCCGAACACAAAGGCGCTCGCGCTGAGCTCGCAGTCTACGTTTGGACGTGATTCGAGTTGTATGTGTTGTTGCGACATCGAGCCCTAGTTCGGGATAAATTAATAACGTCTATAAATCGTATTTAGTGTTAGTTGAGGTGTTATTTTTAAAATGTGGAGTGAAGAAAAGTCACTAGAGTTAATTGAACTGTACAAAAATCAGTCAGTCTTATGGAATCCGAAAGACCCTACATATTTTAAAAAACCATTAAAAAATGATGCTTGGCGAAAAATTGCAGACTCTCTGGGGATAGAAGCAGAAGAGTGCAAAAATAAAATGATTAGTTTATTTGCATCCTATCGCAGAGAGAAGGCGAAAGTAAAGAAGCACCTAGGAACCGGAAAAGGTATGTTTATCCCTTAATTAAATACTTAGTACCTACGGTAAAATCTTAATCCGATTTTTTAAACTTGGCTATTTTCTTTTTTTTTTTTTAATTTACTACGTTATTAATTCGAAATTATTCACATTGACAATACTATAGATAATAGACAATTGGGTAATAATATACCCTTAAAAATTAAATCAGTTGTGGAGTAGACAGTATACTGTGTTTTGTTACCATTTTTATACCATTTATTTTTATTTTTTGCAGGCAGTCAAGAAATATATCAAAGCACATGGTTTGCCTATGAAGCACTGGCATTTTTGGGAGACAGGGACAATCCAAGAAAAATACTTAATTCTATGGTAAGTATTTTTTATAAATGCAATAATAAATACAGTTTATAAACTATACATATGGTATATACTATTTAACAGTATCGATCTTGCCATGGAACTTTTCCCTCATTGCAGAAATAATCAGAAAATTCTTCTCTGATGTGTTTTGCTATCAAAGGAGCTCTTCGTGGTACATTCCTAAGTGGAAGTAATGAACCTGTGTTTGGTTCATTTCTCCAAGATCCTTCAACAATTTGTCCCGCTTCTTCACGATCGAAAGATCCAAGTGGTGTGTAATATCTTTGTGATTCAGAATTTTTTCTCAAAAAGTTATGTAGATGTGCAATGGTCATGACTATAATCTCAGCGTTTTCGGGTTGGAGAAGTATTGGTCTACGTAAAACTCTAAAAACTGAAGCTATGATTCCGAAAACATTTTCAACAATTCTCCGCGCTCTGCTTAAACGGTAATTGAAAATTCTTTGCTTTGAACCTTTAGGAAAATCTCCTGGATATGGTTTCATTATATGTTCAGCTAGTGGAAATGCGGAGTCACTTACAAGAACATAAGGCACTTCTTTATTTCTTTCAACTAAAGTTTCTGCTAGCGATAAACCCAAGTTATCAGCTTCCAATTTTTTGAAAAAAATTGTATCCTTAAATACCCCACCATCTGATATTCTGCCTTGACATCCGGCATCCACAAATAAAAAATTATATTCCGCATCCACTACGGCAAACATAACAATGCTGAAAAATGACTTGTAGTTACGATATTCAGTTCCACTGTGAATTGGAGCATCGATAATAACATGTTTTCCATCCATAGAACCAATGCAATGGGGAAAATTCCATAGTTCTTCAAACTTTTTTGAGATTTCTTTCCACCCCGCTGGAGTAGTTGGAACCTGAAAATTTAAAAATTATATTTTGTTGCAGGCAGTAGACATCGACGTCGTAAGTAACAGTGTTTCTAGAAATGAAGAAAATGATAGGGTAAAGGAATCAGACATGCCAAGAGAGTCCATTTCATATTCGCAACCACCAAAAAAGAAGAGAAGTTACACGGAACCTAGAGAAAACAACAAAAAAATTTAAATGCTAGCTGAAGCCTCGACATACTAAAGACAACGACCACTCAGACTCAACCTGCATCAAATGTTTCATTAGATAACGAAAATCTTCACTTTATTAATTTCATTGGCAGCAAAATGATGAGGTATCCACCAAATGTTCGGAATGCTGTAGAGCGTGCTATAACAGATGTATTATTTAAAGCTGACGAAGGATATTATAATTTTTATCCTAAACAGTATGCACAGCAGTTACAGCAATGGCCTAGCAACAATACGACATGCACTAAATCTCAAACGCCCGCACCTCCCGTACGTGTGGAGGTACCCGCTATTTCCCCATATGGAACGTTTTCTGAGCCATCTCCCGCCTATTGACAACTATCTCAAGAATCTTTCGACATTCAAGATTTGGTGTAAAATTAACAAACATATGTTTCTTATACTAACATTACTATCTAAATTTAAAACTAAATTTAAATTTAAATAAAAGGTAATAAATAAGTATTAAAAACTTACCCGTATATTTTCTTTTATGGCTTCAATAATTGCCAAGCAAACTTCTGGGACAATCAAGGAAATACATTGCTTTGAAATTCTGAAAATGTATTGTAGACTTGTGTAAGAATCCCCCGTTGCTAAAAATCTCACTGTAAGTGCTAATCTATCTTGAACTGATATAGCAGCTCTCATTGGGGTATCATATTTTCCTACTTTTGGTCCGACTAAAGTAATTAAATATTCAAAATCGATAGGTGACATACGTGTGAAGTTTTGTATTGCCCACTTAATTCCTGAGATTTTAAATCAATCATCAATTCCGAACCGGCTCTTTTTTTATATAATTGTGTTTTCCACCAACGGCGACGACGGCGTGGTTTATTTTCATCTTCATTTTCCTCCACGAGTAAATACATAGCTATAAATGCAGCTCCCGCAACTACTACCTCCCTCGACATGTTCGCGAATACTAAATGGATAAACAATTCGCGGTAAGTATTCTGGTTGCATTCATTCTATGCTCAGGTAGCGTCCAAATGAATTCGCATTACATTACATGTTACATTACACGATACATTACATATGTCTGGACCCGCCTTTACATTACATTACATTACGACGCTCGGCTTCAGTCAGTCGCCGCCTTTAGAATTCCTTGAGCCTCATAGAGTCGATTCTGCAAAAACATGATTACGTGTTCAGGTCTAGCGCAAGAGCTCCTGGTCTTGCCGTATAAACCGTTGCGTGGTTCTCGTACATCGACAATATGTCCATGTCTTTCACAAAAGCTACGAGGTCTGTAAATCAAGTAATGAGACTGGCAATATAGCGTGTGATCCGCCTTCAGTACGAGTTTGAACTCGCTCGAGTCATTTGGTTGTCTGTATCGATTTTTTTTGTGAAACAGTTTTTTCTGTTGTGTTCTAAGAATGAGTAACATGAATTTCATGCAACGGTGATTTTGAGCCTTCGTCTTCAAAAAACGATGAAAATATCGACAGACTCCGGGATCTTGTGAGTTCAAATCATCAGCTGACAGTCACAATAATCGGGAAAGAGTTAAATTTGAATCTCCACCACCATTCATCAGGTCAAGAGCAACTGGGTGTTACATCACGATAATGCTCCTTGTCACACGGCAGTGTCGATAAACGAGCTTTTGGCCAATAAAAACTTTCATGTGGCTCCTCAGCCTCCTTATTCGCCTGACTTGAGTCCTTGTGACTTTTTCTCTTCCCGAAATTGAAAAATCGCCTCAAAGGAACTCATTTTGAAACAGTCGATAACATTCAAACGGCTGTGACCAGTATCGGATTTCCAGCACCGCTAAGAGGAGTGTAACCGTGTCCAGCGCTGTGTGGCTTCACAAGAAAGTTATTTTTAGTGTGACAATATAAAAGCGTAATTATATTTGAATAAAAAAATTAAGAAATCAGTCTCGCTACTAGTCGTGGTATCGGTAGCTTTCTACAAATATTCGACAAAAATACTTCTCTTTATTGGACAATAACATGTTGGATATAAAACGCTTGCAGTCTATCTTTCGAAGTACCCAGGATATGTTCTAGAATTTTTACCGTCGTTGTCTCATACAGAGTGGGCCATAAAGTTGAGCGGACAAAGTGTAGGAAAGGTTTTTTTATACTCAACTACCACGAAGGCATGAGGCCTAAACACCCATGGGGTACCCCATGGGGCTATAGGGGCAAAAAGGTGAAAGGGTGACGACGCCACACGGACTCTGGCCAGGGAACACGTGTGCACGCAACATGCACACATTCTGGCCCCGCCAACGAGATCCGCCGGATGGTACCTGCGCGTTCGGCAGTCAGAAGTAGACACATGGGAATATACGTATAATTTTTTAACAATAACATCATTGAGATGTGAGCCATCGAGACGTACGCACTCCTCGAATCTCGACTTTGATTCGTGAAAGCTCGCTGGCACATCGTTCGTGGGATAGCGGACATCTTCGGAAATGTCGTGCCTGAGCTTCAAAAATCCAGAGATCTGGCCTCCGGGTAGGCCACGGAATCTCCCCTCGTCGCGATATCAGTTTTCCACTAAACATTTCGTTTACAACTACTAGACTCGTTGGCGGCATGGGATGTCGCTTCATCTTGTTGATACCAGGTCCTGCTATGGTAGGCTCCAAAATTATGCAGTTTTTGAAAGAAAAAGTTACGTAGTATTGCTGTGTAGCGAATAGAATTCATTGTTACAGACTGGCCTTGCTCGTTTCCGAAGAAAGAGTACGATCACTCCTTCAGCCGACATGCCCGCCCAAACTGTAACATAATGGGAATGCAAAGGTCGTTGGTATTTTAATTTGGAATTTTCTGCAGCTCAATACTTGATCCACTCTGTAGTTTGAAGTAATGTCAAGAACAAAAATTGAACATCATTCATTTACGTAACTTCGCAACTGCATCACGGTCAATCTCCCAAACAATTCGCATAGCTCTTGGGACTATTCCCATTGCAAATATTTTCCTGGAGGAGCTTAAGCGTGTCTGGCGAACGTCCTTTCCAGGACTCAGCGAGCAAATAAAAGCAGTTGCACTGCCAGCCAGTTATTCTCGGAAGCGATGCAAATCGATATTGATTTGGGCCCAGGAAATCGCCGCATGTAAACCTGCCACTTCAACTGAAAACTTGCGATAGCTTTCTGGAAGTTACCAACTGCGAATTTCACTATACGGATTTACCGTTTATTTGTTGTCGAGTTTCTTTTTTAGCTCAGTGCCAGTGGTACCGCGGGTAATGATTTGGAGGGATAAAGTTGCTAGGGTTATTTTTAGGTAGGTATCTTTAGTAGTGCTCTTCTAACACAAAATAGTTGTATTGGTGGCACTCTTTAACGTTCGCAAGGGTGGGTCAACTTGCTGCAACCTAGCCAGTATGAATCCAGGATCTCTACATCCGCTCTATGCATGCATTTTTCAAGGTAAAAGGTAGAGTAAAGCTTATTTACCAAAAATGACGATAATATTTTGAAATGAATATAAAAGCGTACAGAGTCTAGAATGGTAAACAAACAGGAAACCCAAAGAAGCAAGCTTCCACTATAAAATAGTTCACACACTTAAAAAACAATTCGCTAAAATGTGTTCACAACATTGCTCATAAAATCAATAAGGTAATCCATAATCAGTAATTTAAAAATGTAAAATTAATGAGAAAATGGATAAAAAATGTTGACTTATCCTCCTAAGATGCTCCGGCAAGGCGATAAAAGCTTTGGGACGTACCTGTGACTCCTTAGGCCAACCGTTTTGTAAATTTTTGGGAACTTTAATTGTATATCCCGTTGTCTTGTATTATGGCAATGATTAATGTAATCACTGTTACCTTTTTGTAGATGCTGAAATTTGGCCAGCTGCTGGAAAATTGTCTGATATCAAATACTCCCACTTCTTTGTAATGCTTATCAGATGGATTCCTACGTGGTCTGTGAAGCATTATTTTAAGTATCCAATACTGCACTACTTCCAATTATATTGATATTTATATTTGTACTAGCTGGGCCACCCCATGCAAGCATGCCATAAATAAAAATTTATCGTACAAATAAATATCGCCCGGACACAGTGTGTACGTCATGGCGTTAAACAGTGGTTTATATCTACAAACTACATTATACGGCAACTCAATTAATTGTTAAAAATATATATATATTTTTGTCTCAGGTAAGTAGTGGCACGGTTATTTTCAATAAACTGAGCAGCATTTGCTGTCGTATCAATCTAGATATTTTAGCAAATTTGGTCGATGGATCTAGTATGGTTCAAAACATTCTTTTTTCTTTTGGATTTTGTGCCCAGGCGAAAATGTAAAAATAACCTTTTGTAGCAACACCCCGTGACTTCTGAAGTATTTATTGATTTAATCGAGAGAAGTCTACATTTTACAAAAAAACACTATATTTCTAGATCCATTACATCAGAGATGCCTGCTTATTGGTCGAGTTTGTGCCGTAGGCGTATTTCTGGGCCCCAAATTAGTAAGATCGAACCTAAATAACGCTACTGGAGATCCTTTTTTCTTTTATAGTTGCTGATTTCGAATCTCTTACCTGAATCATCTTATTTGCAAAATGACGGGCTCAGTTTACTGGATCCAATGCCAAAATAGTCAATCAATCAATCAATAACCTTTATTTCCATACAGACAATATAAATTGTATTGGAATTGTCAATTTTTCGTTCACTACAAACCTACAACTAATCTCAAATTACAATGTTCAAAATTCATCAACACGATAAAAGCACTTGTTTATCAAAAATTGGTCCAACTGGAACTTGAAGTGGTTAATATTTTTAACCGAGGTAATGTGGCATGGTAAATTATTAAAAAGAAGCGGACCAATCTGATTAGGTGACCGAAATGCCGCTTTTGAAATGATGACAAGTCCTTGTATCATAATTATGCATATCACAATTTCGCTTGAATTTTTTATTATTTTTATAAAAATGTAAGCACAATTCATATACAGGGTTATCCAAATTAAGTGTCCACCATTAGTAACTTTGTTATTAGTGAAAATACAAAGTTGTTTGAATTAGCAAACTAGTAGCATTTTTAACGCTGGTAAAAATGAGAAATAAAAAAAAACAATTGAGAGTCGTTATTTTGATTTTTTTCAGTAAAATAACATTTTTTTAAATGGAAACCCCTGTATATTATATTTTTTTCTGTTAAAGCATCAAATTTTAAACAACAAAGTTCATAATGACTTTTCCGCTAAAGTCAAAAATAAAGTCAAAATAACGATAAATATTTTTAATTATTTGCAGTATTATAATATTAAGACGGCTATGAAAACAACATGGCGTTCGCGATTTGACAGCATTAAGATAAGCGACAAATTGTTAAACTGGACATACTCGCAACTAGAAGGCTTTGGAAAACAATGATAAAATCAAATAATGTCAAACATTAGTGTAAATACTTGTTTATAAGCTTTATTGTGTCATTAATTTAAAGAAAAATGTTCTCCCATGAAGAAAAGTGTGATATGTTAGAATGCTATTTAGTGTGCAGAAAATCCTCCTTGAGAGCAAGAGAATACTACAGTGAATTATATCCCGCTCGCATTCAACCGTATGAACGATATTTTCTGAGACTTTATCGAAAATGTAGGGGCAACGAAAATGTTTTTGCTAAAACAAGGGCAAAAAAAGAATTCATAATAAGCGAGGCCACGGAAATTGCAGTTATTGGATATTTTGAAGCTTATCGTGAGAGTTCAATAGCAGATATTCTCAAGGACTCTAATTTCAGTTATGGTACTGTTCAAAGGATTTTAAAAAAATACAAATTTATTCCGTATAAGTACCGACCAGTTCAAATGCTTTTGGCAGGGGATCCAGAGAGAAGACTTGTTTTTTGCCATTGGTATCTTAGCTTCTGTCGCCAAAATGTAAATAACTTTCGTTACCTTTTATGGACAGATGAATCAAATTTTTCAAA